AAAAAAAAAAAAAAAAAAAAAAAATTGTAAACTATCTTTTGCACACGCAAAAGATATAAATTATAAAGTATTATAAATTATATGTATATTTAATATTAAAATTATACAATAAATAATTGACATTATCACATTTTTTTACAAATTTGATTGTTAATCTATACTATTATAAAAGAGCCAATGAATCTGTAAAAATATGATATCCCTAAATTAACCTTACTTTGTCATGTTTATAATGTCAATTTTGTAATTTAATACCCCCTAATCTATACTATTATAAAAGAGCCAATGAATCTGTAAAAATATGATATCCCTAAATTAACCTTACTTTGTCATGTTTATAATGTCAATTTTGTAATTTAATACCCTCATTCTATACTACTACCTCCTTTTTAAAATAAGTGTCGTTTTGACTTTTTTGATTCATCCATTTTGCTATGTATCTAATGCAGTCCTAATAATAATACAGTCCTAAACGAAGGTTCATTTTTTGTAATGTCAAATATGTAATTCTATACTCATTGTATATGAATTTGTTTTTTTATCCCGTTGCCGTAACGGTCCTTCACTTTCCCCACGCGCCCACCGAAACACGCCCTGCCCCTCAAGTGTTTTTAAGAATATCTGTTACTCTTATTATTAATTAATTCCTATAGGTAACAAAAAATTAATTAGTTCCATATCATATCACATCATATAATTGAACCTTACTTTAAAAGTACTTATATTTCAGTTTAATAATATACACATATATATTTATACTACTGTACAAGAACGAGTGCTTTTGTAAAAAAAGAACTACTTAAAAAATATTTATTTTGACATGTTTTTAATGACAAATTAGTAATACACTAATATCCATCTCTTCTTATATTTTTAATTATAACTAACATTTACCTAAAAACCCCTTTATTTGACAATTTTCTATATAAAATTAGCAATACACTAATGCTCATTTAATATCTAACAGACTAGAAAAGTAGAAGAATTCATTTAACTACTTCACTAATGACAAATAAATATCATATTTGAGATATTAAAATTATTAATTATAATTCACAAAAGTGTGTCATTATAAATAGTAAATACTCTATAGTTATTTGTTCTACAATTATTTTTATAATTTAACCATAAGAACATTTGTAAGAAATTGGGGGGAAATTTTAATTAAACACATTCTAGATCTTGGGGTTTATGTATGTTGGTTTGGCACAATTATCAATGCGTCTATTTATCAAAATTTCTCCCTTTTGAATATCTTGTCACTCCCCATTTTCACTTTTTGTATGAAACTTTTACATTTATTTAAATAAGATTTTCAATGATATTAAAA